ATAGATATGTACTCTGAATTACTTGATGAATTGAATGATTACGATTCTAACTACCAAACTCAAGACCATTTACCCAGGGTTATTGTGATCGGCGATCAAAGTTCTGGAAAAACGTCTGTATTAGAAATGATAGCACAAGCAAGAATTTTTCCTAGGTAATTTATAACATATTATAAAAGGTTTTATTGTGGTTAAAATATTTTGCATTGTATTTTTTTTTAGGGGTGCTGGAGAAATGATGACCAGAGCACCTGTTAAAGTGACACTAAGTGAAGGTCCTTATCATGTTGCACAGTTTAAAGATAGTGCAAGAGAATTTGATTTAACCAAAGAATCTGAGTTAGCTGAACTCAGAAAAGAAGTAAGATTCATTCTTGTATAATCACACCTATTAATAATATGTGTCCAATATAGTCCTAAACTTTATAAAAAGGTAGAGGCAAGAATGAAAAACACTGTAAGCCGTGGAAATTCTGTAAGTAATGAAGTTATTTCAATGACAGTCCGTGGTCCTGGTCTTCAGCGAATGGTGCTTGTTGATCTACCAGGCATAATTAGCGTAAGTTAAAACTGCAATTAAATAATAACAAACTTTAAATTTTTTACGGATTTTATTTATTAGAGTGTAACCCAAGGCATGGCACCTGATACACGGGAATGTATTCGTCAGATGTCTACAGCGTATATGTCTAATCCAAATGCAATTATTCTCTGTATTCAAGATGGATCTGTAGATGCAGAAAGGAGCAATGTTACAGATTTGGTATCCCAGATTGACCCACATGGTCGGCGTACTATTTTAGTATTAACTAAAGTTGATTTGGCTGAAAAAAACATGGCCAATGCGGAGCGTGTATGTGAAAGGAATATTTTTTCCTCTAAATCAAAATTCATATTCAGTATTCTTATTTAAATATTCATTTTTTTACCCGCAGGTTAACAAAATACTTAGTGGTAGTCTATTTCCTATGAAAGCATTGGGATACTTTGCTGTCATAACTGGCAAAGGCAATCAAAATGATAGCATTGATAGTATAAAGGACTATGAAGAGAATTTTTTTAGAAATTCAAAACTATTTCGGTAATATCTATAATACCATTGAAGAATTTATCTTCACTGATTTTTTTTGTTGTCTTACAGAGAGTCCATTGGTATTTCATCACAATTGACAACACGCAACTTGAGCTTGGCTGTTTCTGATTGCTTTTGGAAAATGGTTCGCGAAACAGTGGAACAACAAGCAGATTCTTTTAAAGCAACTAGATACAATTTGGAAACTGAATGGAAAAATAATTTTCCAAGGTTTTTGACATACTATTCTAAATCTCATACAACTCAAGAAGTCTTTTAGAAAGACATTTTAACATTTTTGACATTAAACTATCTAGGTATTTGGAACTGGACAGAGACGAGTTGTTTGAAAAAGCTCGGGGAGAAGTATTAAATGAAGTGGTGAATCTTAGTCTTGTGTCCGCCAAGGATTGGGAGGAGAAACTTAGCGCTGAACTTTGGAATGGTATTTCTCACTATATAATTGAAAATGTATACTTGCCTGCAGGATATTCGGTGAATCAAACCAACAGTACTGGTAATGATAATGATAAAACTATAAGATCTCAAATTTAACTTTTGATATTACTGTGTAGCAAGCTTCAATACAATGGTTGATATCAAATTAAAGCAGTGGGCTGAAGAGCAATTACCCAGAAAATCTATTAATATAGGTTGGGCTGTGTTGAAAGATATGTTTAAAACAATGTTTGAAGAAAACCAAAACCAAAAACTTCAAGCATCCGACGAAATTTTAGAAACTTTAAAAACGGCTGTTATTGATGAAGCATTAAAAAGGCACTCCTGGGAAGATAAGGTATTATTACTGATTTGTAACTGCTAATTATGAACTTATTAGGAAATTTATATATTTTTAACAGGCATTAGAAATGTTGCGAGTGATTCAATTGAACACCTTAGAAGACAGGTGTATTAAAGATAAACATAACTGGGATCAAGCAGCCCAATTTCTTACCAGCACCTTGGAAAATAATTTAAAAGTAAACAATTGATTTTTATTATTTTTATATGTTTATAGCAATGTTACTTAATTTATTTTGTACAGGTAACTGATGGCTTACTCAGAGAAATGGTCGGCCCTTCCAATTATGAGAAATGGTTTTACTGGCAAAGCTCTACGGAAGAACAAACTAAAAGAAATAATATTAAATACGAACTGGAAAATTTATTGCACTCAAATCCCGTATTTAAATTATTTAGATTCATTAATTTGTAGCTATATAGTCATATTTATGCTTGATTATTTTGTTTAGACCCATAGTAATTTATTAAGTAAAGACGAACAAATAACCATAAGCAACAATTTGAAACAGAAAAATGGTACACCGTATGAACTTGATGATATATGGCAAACATGGTATTTAGTGTACAGACGTCATTATTTCAAAATAGCTTTGGAAAATGCACAAAATATTAAAAAACAATTTTACCACTATCAAGAATCAAATGGCTTGCAGGTATCCGTTTAAGAACTTAAAATTATTTAAGTAATTGGTCAAAAATAATAATTCAAAATACATAAAAAAAAAATGATTAATTGAAATCACGGTATATACCGTGATTGAAATTAATCTTAATACTGTTATTGAATACAACACTAATATAGGTACTATGAGTAAATGTGTTGTATCAATTTACTGAAACTATTCTTTTAATAAAATTAATATTTTTATATGTTCATTAATGTAATGTTGAATGGCTGTAATATTGAATAATTCAAAAACATGAAAGATAGATTTAAACAATATCATCACATTTCATAAAAATATATATTATTCCCCATGTGCTTAATATCCAAAATTATGAAAATAGAGGTTTCATGTTTATATATTATAAAACTAAAAATGATATGTTTAGAATGAATATTATGACATTGAAATGTTTTGGAGAATAACACGTATGATCAAAGTAACAGCCAACGTCTTAAGACAACAGATTACCAATAGAGAATGTAATAATAAATTTTAAGTTAAATTTATATTAAACTAGAACTATATATATTAATATGATTGTTTTAAATTAGTGAGACGTTTACATAAAGAGTTAAAAGAAGTTTTGGACGAGTACAGCCAAAATATTGAGATGAAGTGCAAACTGTTGACTGGTCGCCGTGTAACTCTAGTTGAAGAACTCAGTGAGTCTTATTAACATTTTTAAAATCTGGATTATGTAATTTGATGAGCTTTTTTACTTTAGATAAAGTCAAACAAATTCAAGAGAAACTAGAAGATTTTATTCAAGCATTGAATAAAGAAAAATAATGATATAATTTAACCATGAAACTAGACTTAAGCTTCTTTTTATGGTTTTTTTAAACTATTTACTGTTGACTTAATATAATTCAGTTTTTTCAATTTTTGTTGTATATTGTTTACTTCTCAAGTGGTTAGTTGCATTTAAAATGCCTATAAATTATGTTATTATATTATGATAATTTGTATAAAACTGGTCATTTTTCTCTTATTTTTACATAATTATATTTGTATGTTTATTTAATAGTTGACTGATGTATTGGGTAACACTAAAAAAACATTCATTGCGTAGTATTTATTGTGTTTATTAGTTGGTAATGAAAGCAAAAATCTCTTTTAAATAATATTATCTTAACAATACGTCAGTATGAGCAAGTATACATTTAAGGCTATAATTTATGTTAGGAAGAAGTAGATACTAAATTATTTTTTTTTTTTGTTATATTATAATATTATGATATATATCTATTATATTAACTTATGAATAATACCAAATAGAATACTGTTATTTAAGTTGTAAATGCCAGACTTTTAGAGCTATCCTTATAATGTTTTTGTGTTGAAAGACTGTAAATAAAACTGCTAAAACATAGGAAAATGTCCTACTATTATGATGGAAATGTGCAGACAAGTTTGGTCTATAAACTTCAACAATCTACTGCAAAGACAAAAACTATCTTTGTCTTAAAATTGTTTTCATGTCTAAAGAATATTTAGTTTCGCAGACCAAATCTTAAGAAACAATATCTAAAAATATACCACATTTTAAGCGAAAATCTTTTAGTGAACATATTATAATTTAACAATTTTGGGAGTGACAAGTGAGTTAAGGCATGTTTCGCATCGATACAAATGTAAGAGTTCATGTAAAACAGCCCTAAAGCTAAGGTTTTCAACTATTTTATAAATGGTTATCAATATTATTGTTTAATATAAATAATGAATGTTACGAAAGCTTATAAACCCAACATTTGACACTAGTGGGTCATATTAACAAATCAATGTGGCTAATTAATTTGTAAGTTTATGAAATGTAAAGTTACATTTCTAAAATTAATACTTATTTTATACTAATATATTATAGCCATGTCATTCAGGTAACAAATTAAGAATTAATATAGTAGTACAATAAAACAATTTGTTTGTTATTCCAATAGACAAGTTTACCGGTTCCCTAAGCCCATCCACCGTTAGTATATTATTAAGATTTGTAGAAAATTACGTTATTGAATGGATAAAGGTGTCAAGCAACGTGAACATACTTCAAACTTTTTATAAGCATTTAAATTGTTATTTAACAAAATAATATTGTGTTTATATATAAATTAACATTTATAAATGTTAACACTATCATTTTTTTTTGTAAAATACATAGGATGTTGAATGCTTTTAAGTGTTAATAAATCTAAAGTATATTATACAAAATAAAAAATTGTACCAAATTATTGGAGAAATAAAGCGTGTGTAGTATATTATATACAAATAATCAGTATAACATAAATTACATTATTTATTTCAATTTCAAAATGTACCTATACATGAATATTTATTTTTTAATACACTGAAAACATTCTTAAGATATATTATATATTATAATTTATAAAACTTGACTATAACATAAATTAAAAGACTAGTTACATTTACAATCTACTGAATGGGTTTAAATATTAATTGCACAAAATACAAATTAATTAAATTTAAAATATAAACATGATGATTTAGCAACAAAATTGTTGATTTACATATAAAAATAGTATGTGACAAAAAAAGTAATAAATTAAAATTGTATGTGGAAGTAAAAAGAGTTAAAAGAACACATAGGCTACTTAATATTTGCACGACTTACAAAATCGGTCCAATTACCTATATTTATTATTAATATTAAAAACAATGACACAATATACAATTAATTAATTATCAATGGAAAAGTGATAATCGTTGAGTATATCTGTTCAAAATTGTACAAATTAATTAATATTGTAATACTCAGATATGGAACATTTATAATATAACACATAACCATAATTTTAATATAGTAATGAAATAGTTGATTACATACTTACATGATGAGTAAACTTATTTCAATGAAATAAAAATAAATTAAGAGGCAATGAAAATAAATAAATAAAATATAAAAGTCAGTATGACAATTTTTTATTTAAATTATACCAATGTACTGTAATTCAATGATCGATTTTCAAGGACCTTCACCCGCAATAAAAACAAAAAATATACTTTGATAAGAAAATCGATGGTGTTACTTCAAATAAATGGTTTAAACGTCTAATTTGTGCAGGTTAATAGCAATTAAATAGTGGTTTTAATCAGAAAACAAATGTAGACGTTTGTAATAGAAATTCAAATAGCTTTAGTTAACGAAACATTAAATTAGTAAGAAGTAACTTATATGTTTATTAAATTTATACATTTTACAATTAAGAGATTTTAATCTCTACCATCAAAAATATTGTGGTACTCAAATTGTATAAAAAAACGGTTTCTTACATTCTATTATTGAACCATACATTGTACATTCTTTGTTTTTTTAATGTCAAATTCTTATTAGCAACGTTTCCATTTTCACGGTTCATAAACTGAAACAATCCAAACACAAAAATGTTAATTGAAGTGATAAAAATAATGGTTAACACAAGTCAGTCCATTTCATCTAGGCAGTTATTGACTGCCATGCCCACGCCCCTGCCAAGATGAAACAGATGTCCTAAATAAATGCCGCATTTAAAATCTCTCGAGTTTTGCACCAAAAGGGTGAATTATTCAATTGTTCAGACTAGAAGACATAACACAAACTAATATTAAACATAAAAAAATGAGGGAAGTTTTTAACATGCTAATACTGTCATGTAAACATAAAATAAGCAAATCGAGATTTGTGAGAATAAAAAAAAATTAATGGTAGGAACATACCTACGGTTGGATATAGTGTTGGGCCGATGTCGATCTGCCAATAGGATAAGATACCAAAGGCTGCGAGTTAGTTGGCTGCGGCAGGGGCGGCGGGCCAGACCCAGATACAACAGGTGGTATCTGAATTGGAGCCATGGAGACGGTAGCTATGGACACGGGTGTGCCGGCCGCAGCCACCGCCGCCAAGCTGACTGGGACTGTGGTCACGGTGCGTATAGCGCTCACCATTTGCTGGGTGCTGCGCAGGGGCGCTTGTTCATTTATGCGCAGCTGTGCGTTTTGTTCCAACAAGAATTCATTAGTCGCTTGCAATTCCTCATTGCGCTTTTTCAACTCAGCCACACGCTTGCGCAACATTTCCACCTCATCTTGCAACAACCAATATGGCTGTTGATGCACAGGCCCAGGTGGCGCAGAAAAGTCCATGTCGCGATTGGGGAATGGGCGCCCTAGCGGCATTCTGTTGTCAAATTCGTAGCGCCTACGCTTGGGATCGGGCTCTTCATCATAATCAAAGCGTCTGCGAAACAACTCATTACCGAAGTTAGGAGGCATCGCTGGCTGGGGTGAATTGAAAGGACCATTAGGACCTCTAACAGGTACATCAAGCGGTTGATCTACATGACGAAATTTACAATGAGCTTGGCTACGATGGCAATTGCCTTTTAAATAATCTTTACAAATAGGTATATCATCAGAAGGAGGCGCACCAGTTATTTCAATCGTCCTCAACACTTCTGGTGCCATGCGTCCGGTCCGATTATAATACTCCTCATCCTCACGAGAACAATGAATGAACCGGCAGTCGTGACGACTACACTTGCCATTTTGAAAGTCATGGCAAAATACATATTTGCGCTTATCCTCTTCGACAGGAGGATGAAAAAATTTGCAAGATTTGCCTCTATTGCACACATTGCGCATGAAATCACGACATACATTCTCGGTTGTTTCTGATTCCTGTTCCTTTTTCCCCTTCATCCCTGCGATTTCAGACTATTATAAAATTTTGCATGCATTTAGCATTTCAAAATCTAAAATTGGGTTTAATACAGCATAATATAATATTATATCTGATCTATTGAATTATATTATTTAAAAAATAGTTTTAAATAATAATAATCATAATATTAGGCTAATTAATATTATTCGACAATTATGAAAACAAAAATAATATAATATATTATATCAGAAAGTATTTGAAGTTTGAATAAGCATTTCACATTATCTTATAAGAAATATATTTTTTAATAAATACATTTTAATGTTGCTAACGACAGGTTGACAGAAATTTAAAAAAAAACAACTCGAAAAAATATGTTTAAATCTCGCACACTTTTGTTACTGCAAGCTACCGAATTAATACCAATTTACCTACCCAACTTCAGTAAATCATTGCTAAACAATAATTATCAACACATTCAATATTTTTATACTCGCTGCTTAAGTACCTACTCTTTATGGGCGCAAATTACGCGCAATGCCAATGGAAAATTCGATGGCCGGATAATGCGCGTGCGACGTTGGCAGTTCATATATTCTAAAATATATTTGTGAAAAAATGTTTGAACAACCGGTGTTGGACAGCTGCAGGTAGCGCCAAAATGTCCACTATAAGTAAAGACGAGATAGCTGGCAATCAAGCGACTTAGCGCGAAATGTAGTTTAAAGACTAATTAGAGCACGTCATTGCACATAATAATAATTGTATGTTATAATAGTGATTAGTCCATACTTTACCTTTAGAAGATTTTTTTTATAAAAATAAAACCAAAACTCCAAATAACTATTGGGATGTAGGAACACTACGATGATAGCTGTATTGATGAGACTATTTAGGTGAACTGTATTTTTTTATATTATGAAAAACTGTATATACAACAGTAAAATGAATTAAAGTTATTAGGATTAACTCGAATATCAAACTTTCTGCATTAAATTGCTTTGCGTTTTTACAATACAACAGTATAAGTATACCACTTTTGGCACTTTTGACTTTTCGTAATAAATTATTAAAATCAAAATGAAAAAATAATCAATGACCTTTGGGGCGTGGCTTAGCAAAATGTAAACATTTTAAGTTTTTTATTCCAAGCGGTCCTGGAACCTGGAGGAAAAACGAAAATTCTTTTTAAATCCCATCAAAATGCATAGACCTTAAGTAAGTATAACCACAGAAACTAATTTACTGTATAAGGTTTATGTCAAAATGTAATATTGGCCTGGAGCACGATCATAGTTGTACTTGTACATAAAATTATATTTCTATGTCGGTGAGCACGATTTAAGATATAATATCTTTAATAGTTTAATCATGCCCTGGAGTATAGACCACGAAATAAAATATAATATCTTAGTTTATGGACTCATGGTATAGTCTTAGGACACAACATCGTGGACTGTCTATGGATACATGGAAGTTGAATAGGTACTTGCCACAGACATGTATTATATACTATGTTTAGTTTATAAATGTGGCAATGTAGTACAAACGAGGGGGGTGTTTAAACCTCCCTCGTTGACATTTTTTCCCTGAATAAATGTATTATGTACATTATTTATGTCACAAAACTATAAAAACTTAGTTAATTTATACTTAAGCCCTCCCAATTTCATTATCCTGGCTATGCCACTGATCTGTAGAACATGCAAAGACTGCAGTAGGTACTTCAAAAAATAATACACAAAAGCTAAAGCTTTTGTAAAATTGATGTATTAATTTAAAATAATTTTAACAATTAACAGCAACTGAAGTTAGTCTAAACAAAAAAAAAATTTGATTACATTCAAATACAAGTTTAAGATGTGACAATTTTTTTCCCACTGAATGAGTTTATCTTTTCTAAAGTGCTGCTTAACAATGAACCTTTCTCTTGTTTGAATTTAAACATGTGTAATAAAATGTGTTCAACTATTTCATCAGCAGTTTTGTTTTGTCCGAAATAATCTATGAATTCACCCTCTGGATTAACTAAGTACATAATGATCGTATGATCCACCTGAAATGATGAACACACATAACAATTTATACCTAATTCTTAAAGTAAAATAATAAAATATGTAATCACAAACTCACTATGTAATCATTATCAACGTCTTTCTTTCCAGGGCTATAATAAACTCTATATCTTTTGCACACTTGCTGAATTTGATCTGAAGTGCCACTTAAGCCAATGAATTTTGAAGAAAATTCCTTTATATATTTATCAACAATTTTAGGAGTATCTCTATCTGGATCTACAGTGATGAAAATACCTTGAATGCCTGTATTCATGTCTTCTTTTTCTAAAATTTGCAACAGGCTGATATGATAAAGTAATCATTAAAATAATATTTTATTTTATTATGTAGGTACCAAGTTTATCTACAACTAATGCCATTTTTTCTAATTCATCAGGACATATATCTGGACAATGACTGAAACCAAAATAGATGAGCATCCACTTCCCCAAAAATTGTTCACTTTTTACAATATTGTTGGATCCATCGAGTAACTCAAATGGACCTCCAATTTGAGCTTTTCCTAACTGACGCTTTCTCTCTCGTCTTTGTTCTGAAAATGTATACATTTTATTAAGGTTTTGATTAAGTTATAACATACCTAATAAAATATAAAATAATGATAAAATGTTAATTTATCATTAAATAAATAATATAAATGTGTATGGTTTCATTTTATTTTATTTATTAAAAAAATATGGGCAGATAGCACAATAGTTATTGCAAAAATAATATAGTAAATGTATGTAAATATAGTACCTCACATTAATATCAAGAAAGAATATGAGAAAAACAAACAAAAATTACAATATAACAAAATTAAGATGAACAAAATGTAATAGTGTTTACTGTATATTTATGTAAGGGGTTACATTTTTGAAAATAAATAAATTTAAATATTTATAGACTTTGAGAAATTATAAAATAATGACTAAATAATAAGCACACAATACACAATATTAAACAAAACAGAAATAACTGAATTAGGTAGGTAATATCAGTTAATAATTACAAACACTTACTTTCTTCTTGTTCTTCTTTAAGATATAACAAGTATGTGACCATACCCGCTCCCAAAACACCAGTAATTCCTACAGTTTTCCATGTAATCGGACCATCTTTTCCAAATATTGGTTTATTACGTTTCGGAAATTCAACATGTTTATTTGGACCTCCTGACACATTACTAAAGTTGAGTTTTTTTATTTGATTGATTTGGAACTATAAAGGTAATAGTCAAATTAAAATATAATTAAAAACATAATTAATTGATTAGAAATTAGATTTTACTATTCAAATTAATAAAGCAGTAAAAAGAAAAAATATTTTTAAAAAAGTAAATAATATTATGTAGGTATTTTACTCGTTGGAAAATTCTTCTGGAACAATATGACATGACTGAAAGAAATTTGAAAAATCGATAAAAGACAATGTTGTGAACACTTTTTTAAATACTTGGATCAAATTTTGTCTTTATTTTTGTGTAGGATTTAAACTTCACACTGAGCTTGTATTACAAAAAATCAAGTTCACTTTGCGTATAATATCTGGCCAGTTTTTCGAGGGGGATGTATAATGTACAAGTAAAGTTTAATCTATGACGTATGAAGAATAAAAAGAAGATATAAAATATAAATACTTAGTACTTGAGGTTTACGAACTTCAAGTTTTACCCACTATGAATTTTGATCATATTAAATTATGTTTTTTATCAAGACAATATTTATCTTTAGAGTTTAGATAATGGCCGGGTAGTTTTATTGAGATGAAAATATAGGAATGTCGAGCGGTAACAGCGGTAACTATATAGATTATAGACCAGGATTCGTTGATTTTATCACAGATTATGATAAATAGATAACACGTTCCTTACATTGTATACCAGTTTTTAAATTTTGAATTTAAAACGTTAAGTCTGTAACTTTATGTCTACTTGTATTATTTGAGTATTATTTTTCTTTATAATTCACCTTTTTAAATAAACAACAATTCTATTTTTGTTATTCATTGTCAAAAACACAAATCGATTGAAGAATGTTAACTACATTATTTTGACCTTGTTGTAAGTAAACATAAATCTATTAAGTGTATTAAAAATGTTCATGTAAATTATTGATTATAGTTTGTAGAAGTAAGAAAAATGTCTACAATAACAGAAGGTTTAGTGACAATAACAAACATTTTAAAACATAAAATCCAAAAACTCAAGAAAGAAGAAAAGCCAAAGGTAAATTTTCTTATGTTTTTATTGTATTGGTTCCAGTTGTTACCAAATGTTGACATTATATTAACGAATATTTCAAAGTACTGCTTGAGAGTCCGAGAATCAACTTTCCTTGAATGAATATATAAAGAGGGTCCTCAGTTTGTATTTAAACAACTAAAAATCTGTTTGGTACATACATTTATATATTTGAAATATTATGTTACTCGAGCATATTAGAACTTAAAAATGGTTAACGAATAACGGGTAGACAATTAATTTAGTAGACGTTTAACTATAAAATTAATTAAATAAGTTGTTACAATAATTTCAGACATTTTATAAAAGGTCTTTGGGTACTGGTCTGTTATCTCCCCGCCACCCATTATTATAAATACACTGTCTAAATATAAAATAATGATTTATTGTATAAATAATCAATCGGAATTTTGGGAATCACGGAAAGCCTTTCTATTTTCTATACGTATTTAACATTATATCATAACGTAATTTATATTTATACAATGTATTTATTATTATTCCATTTTGAATTAAATCGTATGTTTTTTCCATTGAATTATTAGATTATTTATATTTTATACATTGTGTTTATTATTATGGGTCTAGTAAGTACTTTTTTTTCTAAATTATTTTTACTTTGATTTTTAATTGCAGGTGTTATAACTACTAACATTATTTCAGAAAATTCATTAAATGACGAAGAGTTTACACTATTGTAAGTCAGGTAATTTAAAAATAGTTGTTTGTATGAAGTGTAATGTACAAGACTATAGGTTTTTACTTTTTTTGAGCATTGTGTTATTGTATATCATTGTATGACATAAAAACGTAGTCTATACAATTGAAAACTGTTTGTTATTTTAAATAGGTATAATTTTAACTTTTGTTGAATATGTATTATGTATATTATAGTATTATAGTTTAATTTAACCATATACTTATGCTATGTTACGTTGTTGACATTTTTATTTTTTAGATTCAATAAGATGATAAGAAGTATGAAAAAGAAAAAAATTAAGGTAGGTCTTCAACATTAATCAAAATATACATAGTCACATACTCACATCTCACATGAAAATGATATATTTATTTATTTTTACTACAGCTCTCGACTAATAATGGAATTGGACCTACTTATACTGCAGATAATACCTTGACATTGAATGTATGTAAAATCTACTGCATTTTTAAAAATTCATATTATCTATAACGACAGTCAGGTAACGTTAAAAAAATATGTTGTTATAGCCAAATTTGATTTTCTATTTAATATAAATACAAATGAAATTTTGCCGAGAAATTAACGTTATACCCCATATGTCATTATTGATGGTACCGACTGTAGTTGTTTAGAAATTAATTGTACTATTATACTAATAAATTGTTTCTAAACAAATTAAAATTTTATATTTTAGACATTAACTCATTTAAACACAATATCACCTAACAAGAAACTTAATTCTAAGAAACGCGACAACAAGGACAAGTATTTGGATGTAGATAAAACAGAGATTTTCAATTCAAACAAAGGTCTGTTTTCTTTTTTCTTATTATATTTTTATTGTTTGATTGATGTGTTAATTTAAATGTTTAGAAGAATTAAAAATTTGTATTCCTCTTGTGAATTCTTCAGAAGTTGATCAAGAATTGATGTAGTAAGTATCTATAGTCTCATTATTATTTATTGAATGATTTATGATAAACTGTACTGTTCTAATATAATACCTAATATTATCAATAAGCCATAATAATGTTGTTATCAGTCAGAGAGATCAACGATTTTACATTCTACTTTTCATCATAGACCTATTAACCACACAAAATGCATTATAATAACTAAATTGTATGTAAAAACTAATTTAAATACTGCAATTGTAGCCCGAGTTTACTAAACAACTAGCAACAGAAACTTTAAATTAATTTTTAACAAGATATAGTTATTATAATGCATTTTATTTTTATTTCACAGCACAACATGTTTAAAATAACAAAATATGTTACAATATTTGATATTCTTCAAATAAATTTAAGACACCCCATTAATGATATAATATCTAAGATATGTTGTCTATTACTAACTCGTTTTTGCGATTAACTGCCATGCCTTTAATAAGAATATAGCACATCAGACCTACAGTATAAATTCTATTATTAGTTTTATTACTATTTACTATACTATATTTTGCTCTTTGTATGACAAAATAACATACTGGTTATACTTATACCTACATAAGATAAGGTATTAAATTTTATTTCCTTAAACATTTGTTTTTTTAGTAGGCTAAAGAAGCTGGGAATAAAAATTAAGAAGAAAAAAAATCCTAAGGTTATAATTATACCTTCATTGGAATATAAACAAAGTACATAAGAATTTTTTGTTTGTTTATTTTAGGCTCAAAATAAAATGAGATATGATAATGCTATGGTCCATACAATAAAAAGGCATAATAAAACAAACGATAGCTTTGAATTGCTTTCAGATTTTAAAGGTCCTCTAAAAAACACTCACAACGGTCAGTATTTATGTACAATTTACATGCCAAATTAGTGTTTATTTCTTATCAAATGTAAATGAATAATGAAATTGATTCTAGATTTGGCTGCTACTTCAACACATACAGACTGTGTTAATGTTTTGTAAGTATAATAGAATAAACCAAAGTTTGTGTCATACAATTACTTTACATTGTTTAATGATTTGCAAATAAGTAAAAACTGAAGAGTAGGAAATTATCCTAGACATATTTATTTGCTAACATATACCTAATTTAATATAATATTAATTGCTATTTTTCAAATGTTTCAATAGCTTTTTTTAAATATTAGTTTATAGTTAATCAATAAAATGTTATATTGTTGTAGATTAAAAAGTTCATTAAAAAAAATGAAAAAAAAGAATAGAAAATCTGAGGTATTTATAGTTTTACATATTATTCATAATTCTCTGTTTTATAAATTATAAAAAGTGTTCTGATTTTGGAAGGTATTGTTAAAAATAAACAACCATTTTTCTTGTTTAACATCATCCAAGACTACCATCATCTTATATTTAGGTCCCTATTCCTTAGCACCTATTATTTAAAACAATAGTTTGGCATCTTCTTTTTCCTATTTTTATCAATATTATATCTATAAGTATATTTATTACTGAACAAAAGAAATAATAATTGTCTATTACTAAAGCTAACACCTGCTGATTAGAAATTAAGCATTTTAGAATTAAAATTTTAAACCTGTTTTAGATGGCAGTTAAAGATTCTGTGTTGTCAAAAGAAACAGTTAAACATAAAGATACTAAAAAAATAGAGTTCTTTGAAAACAATATATCTGAAGATCATTCAAAAGAGTTATACAATGGTAAAATGTTTAACTTACCAGTGCCTTTCCTTGATAAGTGTTTTAAGCTTACTCTGTTCTTAACTAACACATTAAAATTTCATAATAAATTGTCTTCTGTCAAAAATGTTAGATTGTTGTACTCCAAAGTCTAGTATTTATGTTGTTTAATTGTATACTTATATTTTGTATAATTTACGATTCTTGTGCTGGGTTTGCAGTATATTTGAATAATAAATAATATTTGTTTTATTACCCATATTGTATAACTTACAAAAGTCATACTTTCATTAATTTATTCATAATTAAATGATTGAATATAGTAACTCCGTTTTAGTCAACAATTTTTAAGCACGTATTATACAAATAATAATTTCCATTATGATTTCTCTATAACATTAACCTTCAATAAGTATCCTATCATTGTGTTATTAATTTTTTTTTTAAACTATGTTTGAGATAAATGTAGAAAAACCAAGTCAAGGTGTCTATTCTCAAACATTTAATTTTATTATACAACAAATAATTATGAGGTATCATCATTTTTTGCTAACTTCATATTTTTTTATATTCAATTTATACAGATACTGCCATGACTAACACTTCTAGTAATTCAAGAAATTCAAAAGTTGTCGAGGAGTATCCATTCTTGTGAGTATGAAAATTGAATATATTATGAACAGAATTTGAATGCAAATATAAACAAAAAATTCATTCTCTAGAGACAATCTCTAATTTCAAAGCATAGAAATTGCATTGTAGTGTTAAAAATTAATAACATTTTTCTTTTCTAGATTTCATAACCTGTTTAAAAAAAATAAGAAGAAACAGAAAAGGTCTAATAAGGTTTGTAATTTGTATCCAGTTTCAGTAAACTTTTTTTTTTAAATTAGGTTTAAGTAAAATATTTTTTGTTTATAACATTTATTGAATTAATATGTATCATAGTAGGTATAGCAATAATTGTGTGTTTAAGAAATCTATTCTCATATCCTTAGGTACTCGTATTATAAAAATATTGAAATATAAGTTTATCGGAAATTCACATTAATTTTGTATGAGCATTTAAAAATCAAATTTTTAAGACTATGAATATTCATAGGTAAAATAATGATTTCTCATCTAACAATTTTCTTATTTAATTGTAATTCAAAAATGAATAACTGTAGATACTTAAAATATTTACCAAATGTTTATTTTATCATCTTGATATGATGACATTTTCTAAATATTTTTTTATTCTTTTTGAGCTATTATTATAAACAATTGAACATTTTTTTAAAGTTTTTATTCTAAAAATGTTCATGACAATTTTTCACTGGGTCAAAAAGCTTGAAAATTTAATACAAGGTTCCTCATAAGATGCTTTTATAGCTACTTAAACATTGACATTAGACATTTGCCAATCATTTTAAAGTTAAAATGTTTAATTTTTATAGGATTGACTTTTTACAACAAAGTTTCTCATTACTAGTCCATGCTATAACCAAAAAATTTATTAACACAGTTTTTTTAAAGACAAGTTTAAATTTAAAAGAAATTAGATATTAAAACAAAGGATTACGGTTTTAATTGTGTTGTTCTCTTAAAATATTTCCTGTTTGTAAATCGTACGTACTTGAAACTTTTGAAGTTCATTATTATATTTTATACACGCAATGACATTTTTAAATGGTATGTTTTCGACAAAAATGAATTCAATATATTGTAATAGTAAAATTAATTACTCTAATAGCAATACTATCATTAAATAAGTATAGGCGACAAGCCTCTTTCGCTCAGAATTATTTTTAGTATGCAATGATTTAATAATATCATGGATTCAAATTTAACACAGAATACTGTGAATTACTGAATGATGAAATTGCTTATTTTTTTTTAGTATGATAAGTTATAATTTTTCAATGTTCGTATATTTATGTCATGAGAGACGTTATGATCGATTTTTAATTATTTTTTATAGGATGCGACTCATACTGAAATAATTTCGCCGAAGAAATCGAAGAAGCGTAAACATAAGACTGATAATAAATGTTCAGAAAATAATATTTCTCAATCAGTGAACGAGGATAAAGAGACATACAGTGGTAAAGGCCATGTTCGCGAGGATCGTAAAAATAATTTTAAATTGTTCGATGCATGGGACGATATTGTATCGAAATATCGTACCACGGACGACACAAGTCATTATTTTGGTAAATTTTGTCCTAAAGAATTTAACAACTCCAATAATTTATTTAAACACGAAAATGTCCATACTGGAAAACCAACTCATATATGTGACATATGTTTTAAAACGTTTACCAAGAAGTCTCATTTGTGTAGACATACAAGAACGCACACCGGTGAGAAACCTTATGCATGCAACGTTTGTGGCCGATCATTTTCGCGAAAAGTAAATTTAGTAATGCACGGAAGAACGCATACTGGTGAAAAACCATACTCGTGCAACGTTTGTGGCCGATCATTTGCACGAAAAGAAAGTTTAGTAAAACACGGAAGAACGCATACTGGTGAAAAACCATACTCGTGCAACGTTTGTGGCCGATCATTTGCGCAAAAAGAACATTTAGTTGTACACGGAAGAACGCATACTGGTGAAAAACCATACTCATGCAACGTTTGTGGCCGATCATTTTCGGAAAAAGGGACTTTGGTTGGACATAATAGAACGCATACTGGTGAAAGACCATATGAGTGCTGTCTTTGTGAAAAAAAGTTCATAACAAAGGGTAATTGTACAAAACATACACGGAGTGTACATTACAAATGTTTTTAAATTTGTTACAATTATTTATTAAATTATAACCAATGATAGCTTCCTTATTTCATTGAGGGACATATTATTGCGATTTGCGACTGTATAATATAAAATTTTGGATTTTCCTAACCATATGGATAATATATAGGTATAGGCAGATAGCGATTTGAGTATTAGACTGAAATTAGATAAATAAATGATATTTGTTAAAAAAAATTTTATTTATTATGGTATTTAAGTCAGATATGTTATTTATATGTTTAAGCGATTACATTAGCGATTCTGAAAGCATTTGATTTACCTATGATGTTGTCATCCTCACCACACCCCTTCTCGAAAACTAAAACACTTGTAGGTATGAACTATGAATAATTGTCATATAATTATAAATATTTGGTGAGTAATTGAAGTATCTACCATTATTAGTTTTTGAGTTACACCCAAAAACCTCAATTATTTTGGTCGGAAACCGGTTTTGCGTAAGTATTCCTGTTATTCCTTTTTTTTTTTGGTTTTTCCAAGCACTTGAAAATTACTGAGTATTTTTTACTTTTGACATTTTGTCATTACATTTTAAAAAATACTGAACATTTTCTAAATTTGTAGTTGTATCATGAGCTCTGTAACCTATTGATAAAATATTGTGATTCGTACGTCATCGTCTCCTTAAAATCCTTTTAATTATTAATTACTAGAATCATTTAGGGTCGGAATAGACGATCTGATTTTACCAGCCGGTCACCGTGTTTCTCTTAGCGCGGTAAATATTCTGGATATGGCGATATGGGAGAACCACGAAATGTCATTATCTGTTTACCACAGTCTAACTATATAATATTTAAAAAAATCAAACATCGTTCACCGACAAAGTCAGGTCGTCAGTTTGGCCCCTGACGGCCTGACACTCAATATTTGTTATCATAATTGAATTTCTATGTTTAAGGGCATTTGTCTTTTGTATGGCCCATAGCGTCACCAAGTTTCGAGTATTTATAATGCACATTCTACGTAAGACCTACCTTCCAGCTCTTAATAGACAGTTATTAAACATTTTTCTATTAGTGGGGAAGACCTCGTCCAGGGTAAGTATAGTCTTTAAAGATTTTTGTGTGGTCTGAAAGCTTCATCGCAACGACTACGAAATACTTCGAAATAATAAAGGGCACAAGAGGCCCATACCCCCCCCCCCCCAATTCACTGTAATTATACTTTTTTAATATGAACACTAGATGCATGTATAAAGGGATCTATCTTTCTGTATTAAATAGGGAGCATTGATTAGGTTATAATGTTATATGCAATTCGTCACTGTCGTCCGTGGCATTTGTGTTAGTAATGAATGATGATTAATGCAAGTGTGATTATATACGGGTACCGGACAAATATACCAGATAAATGAACCGTGATTAACTAACTATTTATTTTCTTGTAACTTAAATATTATTCGTGGGTTCTTAAAACTCTTAACGTAAACGTTTATTATAATATTTTATGCATACAATATATTAATTGAATAGGTAGGTGTACCTTATTTAAAAATTGTATTAATTCCAAACTAATCTTTAAGAACAATTATAGAAAAACATATTTTTATGAATTATTATAAAATAATATTGATAAGTTATTACTATTTTGAAAAGAACAAAGACATTTTTTGTATAATGATATATTAAGCTTCTTCTTCTCTTGTCTGACATCGGTATTGGAAGGATTTATTGGCAGAGTTAACTATACCCTGTTTCAAAAGAGAACATACCAGGTGGCCACAATTTTCTTATGTAAATCTGATATATTCATCTCTTTTGAAACAAGGTATGGTGGTTAATATCACCATTCCGGGGATTTCCTGATGGTTACTTACAAAGTCACAATCTTTGTATAGGCTTCTTTTATGCCCCTTTTCTCCTAATATGCTTTCAATTTTAAGTGCATTTATTATATTAATAAATTAATTTCATATGTAAATGCGTGCAAGCATACATTATTTAAGAATTGGTTCAAGTCTAAGAAGACAGCCAAACAATAATAGACAACACTGGATGATTTAACTATAATATTACAATGATTGAAGTATCAAAATTATAAAAGTTTTGTTCATAAAATATAAGGTTTTGGCAATATAAATCCAATAGATTTAATAAAATAAGACAAAATTATATACTTATATAGTTTTACATCTTACATTACTTATATGATAGAATACAAAATAATATTTAACATTTTATTAGATGTAAGCAAAACATTTTTTGACTTTCAATATGGGCTACCTATTAGGTAATTAGGAATGATTAATCCGTGTAACATCAATTTTCAGAATTATTTTGTTTCATTCCAAGATAATATCCTGAAATATATTTCAAAAATAGACATAAATAAATAATAATTGTATTACTTAAAAGCAATAGCGTAGCTGGAGCTCAGTTAAGAGGGAGGGGCTATTTAAATTTTAAATATTATATTACTGCATTACATCACCAATTAAAAATTCCAAGGTGGGCTTCCACCCATCGTCTCCTGTCAGCTACACCACTGCTTTATAAAGGACTGTATATGTACTTAAGTAATAAAATATACTAAATATTAGGTATATTTAACAGTATTGGCCATTAGAAAATACCTTAATTTAAGGAAATCATTACTGATAAATACAATTTAAAAATGCTATATAATTCATCAAAACCTAAATTAAAAATTGTTTGCATGAACAATTTATCAATATAATTGTTCATACAATCATTGATTATAAATACTAGTATTATACTCTTATTTATAATCAATGATACAATCTAATGGACCAATCGTGGCACTAAATAATGTTTAAGGGATTATTCGAGTATATTTATTCGTCAAATGTTAAGTGATAGTTCATGTAAACCGGCATTAGAAAATTATAATATAATAGAACAATGGTCTAGCATTTTGGCATTTTGTCATTTGAATAGTATGGTGTATATTTCATAAAATCTGCATCATTGACATGTGCCTGCACGTGTGGAAATTTATAAGCGGGTGGTAAACCGTCGATGCCTTGTACTTAATAACTAATTTTAGGAACTACACACACTAACATTAATTTACTTCTCACACAATAACACAGCTCAAATATAATTGCCAAAAGAAATGCTTAAATATTTCTCCTTAAAACACGTTACACTCCAGCCACCTTAACAACAATGACATATGACATGAATTACTAATATAATAAATGTGATGTTAAGGTAAAAAATAATTCAACAAACAGACCTGTATGAAATCCACTCATATAATATGACATAAGCATTGATGTGAGAGCTTCCCTCTCAGTCTTAGGTAAATTTTTAATACTGTCTGGTGGTGGTGGGGGTGGTGGAAAAAAGACTTCTGTACCCTTAAAACAAAAAAACATTCAAGACACTTATTAATAATTACATATTATAACTATTTATGGTTTGTCATGTATTCAGAACTTATTTTTAAAAAAAATGTAAAATCATTATTTCTGTAAGATTAATTAAAATAGATGGGAATAATTTTGAATATGAATTTTTAAAAGAATTTACAAATTAATGTATAATAATATATTATACCTCGTATCTACTTGATGATTCAGTTTGATAATTCTTGTTAGCATAAACCTAGAAAAGGTATAAAATTGTATTATTCTCAATCGACATTGAACCAATAAATCATGCTCTGTGGCTTAGTTAGATGTAGCTTATGATGATTTAATTTGGCTAATAGTGAAGAATGAGAGCTGACTTTTTTTTTCTAATGTATTAACAATGGTAAATAATAAAACAGCTATCTATGTAAGACATATATTTAACTTCAAACCAAAATAAGATTTTTAGTGAGTAATGTAAAAAATTAACAGCACAGCTTTAGTATACCTAACTAGGTTTGTCTAACTGCTTACTTTACTTACTTATTTACAGAGCATATTTTTGAATGTTGTATGTATGTGTAAGTCTTAGAGAGGCCATCATTTGTCTCAAGTGTTTTTTGATGTATTTATAATCTTATGATTGTAATTTTTATTGTACACGCCCTTGTAACCCCAGCAATCACTTATCGCAAATAGCCATTATCTCTTTTAATACTTTTAGTATTTCAAAAAATTGTTTTATTAAAATTCTGATATTTCTATCATTTTTAGCACAGAAAGTCACACATTTATACATAAATCAAAAATCACAGTTTACAATTTTAGATGGGTAAATCATTTTACAAAGTGAACAAAGTTGTACTTTTACACTTAAAATATAGGAGCACTTATATCGAGCCTGGAAAATGGCATCACCCTAATATCTCCTCAAGCAATATTTTTTTTTACATTGCATTTTGACCAAATTATTCTTAATAGTTTCAACTACAATAATTTCATATTAAATAATAATTGAAAGAAAATATTTTGTAAAATATATTCCTTTAAGAAATGGAAATTCAAGTATCGGAAAAATATGACTGGAGCTAACAGACAAAAAATATCTTATATCATTATGGAATGTAGCTAACACTCATTCCAAGGAAGTCCACAAAACCTTCATTAAATCATAACTTGAATGCACAGCATAAACATGGCTCCAAAAACTTCAAATCCAAATATAATTATTACAGTAGTTTTCAGTATAACTGAATGGTTACCAAAAATGACAATTACCTCTATCTTATTTTATTTTTAAATTATTATCTGATATATATATATATAATGTATTTATGTATGTTAAATAATTGTTTATAATAGATATATATTTGTTTATAATAGATATATATTTGTAAAAAAAAGTATTTTATAATATTGAACTTACTTTTTTCTTTGGTTTGTCTTTCACAATAGATTCACTGACTTCCTAAAATAAGAATTAAAATATTAAGCAATTATATGATAAAATATTATTTAAATCATTATTCATAAAAGTTTGATAGTTTAACATTGTATTTAATAATTATTCAGTAAATTAAGTTAAATACCCAATCTTGCTAATTTTTTTCAATAATTGTAATATATAATTACAGTTTTAAATTAACTAAATTCAAAATATAATGATAAATTTACCCATTAGAATATAAGTGATTTACATTTTTTTTATGTATAACACAAAAAAACAAAGGAGTCAAAACTACTAGGTATAACTATAAATAAAAGAAGTAGAGTAATGTAAGATTATCAGGACCACACACATATTTTTTTCATATTTTAATTTTACGAGTTATGTACGGTTAAAAATGCACCTATTTATTTTTTTATTTTTATATCTTATGTTCAAAACTTTCTGCAAAATTAATTATTAAAATAACAACATATTCAAGGCTCTAGATAATATCCTTACTTTTAATTTGATAATAAATGAATAATTTGTGTAAATTAATGCACTAAATACTAAAATAGAAAAAATAACAGAATTAAATTGAATAAAAAATTTGATATCTAATAGGTTGTAAGAACAATATAATGTACCAATATATGTTATAACTTTAATCATTAAAATATTAAGTAACTATACTACATCCACCGAGAGAATTTAACTAGCTCACAGATCCAAATAAACCAGTGCCACAGTCTAGTGGTCAAATTCTCCCATCACAAGGCGATCAGTACCGTGAGAATGAGTGGTAATAGATGAGTTTGGGTCGCTTCCCAGTTGCATTTCCTCGGTGGACGAAATATACTTATCCATTTAATAAATCAACTAAGATACTTGGATATATATATATATAACTAATTTTTAACATTAATGGTATGACATATTATATCAAGCATACATTTAAATAAGAATAATTACTTCGTCATTTAAACACAGCTCAGACATTGAATCAATAGGGGGTAGTTTTGCCTTAGCCTTCTTTTTAACTTTTTCGTACTGCTTGTCATAACTATTGATGAGATCCGAATCATCAACGTCGTTGACCTTAAAAATCACAAACATATAAATAACAATCACTAAGTAGTATTTAAGCTTAAGATATTCAAACTGCTCACAGAATTTCTGTTAAAAATTTGAGTATATTGGCTATCAGACATGATTTAAGTTTGACGCATGCGTGAAAATATTTTAAGAATTTTGGATGCTACTTTAAATTGCAAACTATTTTTCAAGAACGAATCAAGATTTCAATAAAATTGAATGGAAAACGACAACAATTAGTTAAATACTTTAAACTCAAAACTTAAAGTTAAAACCACGAATCTACTAACCAAGACGTTAAGTGTCCATGATTGCCCATAGTCTAAAACTGTTATCATCCGGCAATGATGAGATAATATAATCTATGGTCTTATGCGGTAATAATCTGGTCGCTGCATAACCTACAAATATTGATAAGCTTTTAGTTAGGTAAAGTATGTTGTAACCACAATCCTCTACCCACTTCTGTTCATGAGTTGGGCTGTAGTGCTGCATTACTGTCCTAATCTTACTGAGTAGGGAACTCTGAACTGGATTTGTATGCTTATGTTATTTAAAAAAAAAAATTAATAGTTTTATATACCTATTCACTTTTCAAAATGGAAAAACTAGTCAAAGTTAAGAAACCTACAGAGGAGGAATTGATTCACAACACTTTTAATGCCTTACGAACAGAACAAAGACAACTTGCTACAAAATTATCAGAAATCGAGCTCGATCTCAATGAACATAGGTTTGTCAATTTATTTTATTATGAACACATCATAGACATTTTTAATATATATTAGGTAGTTATACATTTTAATGTCTCTTAATTTCGTTACAGCATTGTTATTGACACTTTAAACAAGTTGGACGACGAAAGAAAATGTTTCAGACTGATAGGCGGAGTGTTAGTTGAAAGGAAGATTTGTGATGTACTACCTACTTTAATTAAAAATAGAGGAGAAGTTAGTGCTTTAGTAACTTTATAGCATATTCTTTAAATAGTTTTTGCAAAAAAAATGTTAATGTATGCTTGTTTATGTTTTGTAAAATCTTTACTAATTAATAATTATCATTGACTTTAATATACATTTATTTAATAGATAATTAACAAAAATGGGCAATAAGTTCTTAATTATTTACTTAAACTCATAATAAATAAATAATATTTGAGATAACTATTAATTGTAATAATTTGTTTTAGATGGGTAAAATTGTGAAAACATTGAATGAACAATTAACTAAAAAAGGAATTGAAATCAATGACTTCAAGAATAAGCATAACATACAAGTTAGAGGTGGAGCTACCTCAATGTCAGAAGAAGTTGAAAGTCAAAGTGTCGAAAAAAAAGCTGACCATGGGGGTTCAGTAATTGTTAATAATGTTTGATTTTACTATAATGTTCTAATGCGCTTCATATTTTACATATAACTATACTTTTGGGTAGTGTATTGTAAATTATTATATTGCCTTGTGTAACACTCAAAATACTCAAATTAATTTTTAAGTGAAAATAATGAAATGTCCACCCAATTTTGATGTATTCATTTTTGTATTAATTAAGTTTATTAATAAACGTTAACATTTTAACTAGTTCAGTTTTTGTATCGTTTAATAGTATAATTTTTCTTTTTAAAATATAGAAGAAATAAAATATCCTACCTTGTAGACACCCATTTATCTTCATTACTTGTACAATGTTAATACTTAAACATAATTGTTAACATATTTTTTATACAAATAAAATGCTTTAAATTTTAATCTTAATCAAGTTGTATACTTGTACTGACTTATGTTCTTATGCAAATTGATATTCATTATATATTAATCATAAATTATTAATGTATGCTCCACAATCCACATAACAATGTTTGTGATGGCTAGTAAGTATGTGGGGTGTAAATAATATGTATGCATTCCAATCACATCGTTATTACTACCAATCATTTACTTTTCACACAAGTAGAACATACTCTATTGTTTATACAATTATATCCACAAAGTATAATGCTATAATATTCAATAATCCTTTATTAAATGACTGAAAAATGCCATCATTATTATTTCTTGTATGTTCTAAGCCGAAATATGTACCTATCATAGAAATAATTTAACATTTTAAGAAAATGTTATGAATATCATTATGCATAGCGAATATATAAGTTAATACAAGTTTACAACTCAATAAAAATTTTAAATGAATATATATTAAGTAATGGAATTAATAAAATGTCAAAATGGTTTAAAATTGTTATATTGTATATAATGGTTGATTGTATAAAAAATATTATTTTAATTACGAATTTTGAAGTCAATATTTAAAAATGATTTTCCAAATTTATTTTTTGCATGGTAGTGTATTCTTTCTGGGCCATTTCATGGATTGCAAACAACAATTTCTCAGTTGTATTAATTGAATATATTACTTTATAAAAATAAATGATGTTATACCAAATTAACTGGATAAACATCTGTTGTCAGTTGATTATTTATATCAGAGATGAGTCATGAGCAACTCAAAATCACTGGAGCCAATTTTTAGATAATTAAAATTTAGAAAGTAAAAAAAAAAAAAAGATTATTCAATTTATACATTTTAATTAGCATTTATTTTGTTTATATTGAGAATTAACAGTGGTTATAAAAAATAATAAAATTAAATGTAAATAATACTATAACTACTAGTTTAATGTGAATTGTGAGGTTTGAGAATGGGTGATTGCTAAGCTGCTAACGCAGCAAAATCAACTTTTATTCGGAACTGGAAAGTTGGAAACCCAAAGTAGGTGACTTATTTAGGTCATAAACCGCTACGTCTGTCTTATTTACTGCGGGATAGTTGTCCGTGTAGTTGTCCGCGCTGCCATATTATAGGCATCAAACTAGTTAAATAGACAGGAATTTTTTTGGGGGAGGAGGGACTACAATATTTTATTGTTAGAGCTAGAGCACTACCGGGTATAGTGGTAGTTTCATATTTCAGTGGGGGCAGGGGCAGGGCTCAAGCCAAAAGCCTTTGAGCTTTTGAGAGATTGGAGAATACCTGGAGCATAAGATCGGCCGCTAAGTGCAACCCGATAAAGGGTGCATCGCCTGCATAAGTTCTCTGAACTTTCATAATATTAGTCATCGAACTAAATCCTCCGAGTGGTCTCAAATTCGCAAGGCCAGGGTTTGGGCCACTGGGTTAAGCTGTGCATCACCCACAGTGGGCACAATGGGCAGGTGTCATATATACTCATATTATACCCCTGAGACCCCTCCGACAAAAATAACCCAACATATTGTATTGTATCGTTGAAATAAAAATATAGCATAATTCTAGTTTTGCATGCATTAGGTTGCAACCTATTGGTTTTTTAGGGTTTTTTTTAAAAATAAATGTTTTAGGGTATTTTTTTAAGAATGAAAAAGATGTCAGACGGACTTCTTTTTGAAGTTATTGATGAAAAACTTCAAAAAGTACATTTTCGAGCGTTTAAAAAAAAAATACTTAGAATTGAATATTAAAAAATTTTTTTTTTCAAAATTTGAGGTTTTCAACGCAATAGATTTTTAAAATCAAAAAATCGGTTAGTAGAAGATTAGGCACTCGATTTAGTTTAAACTGTCCGAGAAAACGGAGCTGGCATTCGAAGGGAGCCACTATTATATAATATATATACTACTTGTGTTACTTGAACTAAAAAGGTTAAATTTACTTATTAGGTCATGCATCTGGCCGTAGTGGCCGAAGGAGATTCGGAGGACCTCGAGTTTGGCGACTGGAGCCGGTAAGCACTATTTTAATATCTTAAGGTTAATATCTTTTAAGTTATCTTACTTTAAGTAGTTAAAATCGGCGATACACAATTGGCTTATCAGGTCGATCTTTTTAGTACCTAATACGATTGCGAACGTTTATAGTTCAACAATGGACCCCCAAAAATGACGCGATTCTGGACACACATGTTGCCAAATTTATAAATAATAATTAGGTTTTACAAGTATTGCTGTTATATTTCTGCCAATAATTTCATCAATAAACATAATAAAGGTCGAGAAAAATCGGTCTCAAAAAAAGATTTAGATAGAATTAAATTAACTATTCAGACTTCAGAGCTATAATGATTATAGAAATCAGTGATCGTCCGCAATCGTGTTGCGAAAAAAGTAAATAGCGTTCGCAGTTCTGTTTCACCCGTTAAAATATATACCAAGAAAAAAATCAAAATTCTTTTTAGGCGCTGCGAGTAGCAGTACTTCTGTGCTGTGCATAATAAATGTTGAAAATTTTAATTTAAAAATATTGAATTCTAAGTATTTATTTTTTTAATCTAAGTTACGAAAAAAATGTACTTTTTGAAGTTTTTCACCGTTAACGGCCGAAATTTTATCTTACATTCTTATAAAACACCCTAAGCACATATTTTGGAAAAAAAAACCAAAAAAATTGTTTTGGGTGCTAAACTAGAATTGTTCCAAAAATATTTTTTTTTTTTTATAAATTGTTTATGGCATCAACTACGTGGTTATTAGCCAGGGGTTTTTGGGAGTTGGGTTACTGTAGGGTTATAGAACACGTGTGTAAAAATATTTTTATCGACAAGATATATAATATATATATATATATGTATATAAATGTATGTAATAATAATAAATAACTATTTATGTATTATATTTATATTATATTAGATACAAATATTCAATTATATACAAGTTTTATCTTTCATTCCCTTTGCAGCTATAGCCTATAATATGTACCTACATATGTGATATGTGTCAGTGTGCATAGATAATATTATATACCAATAATAATAGTAAAAAAAAAACCAAATTGGATATAATTATACCTATTTAATTGGGTATCGGAATTATAAAAAATTGTCTTTATCGTATTACCTATAGGTCCTCTTCGCTCATAATATAAACTATGTACATTGTATATATCAGGTGTATAGGGATGTCCTATTCTTGTATAATATGTAATGAAACATTGAAACCAATGCCTTGAAACCAATTTATGAGGGGAAACTTGCCATAAAAAAAGCGAAGCATAAAGATTTAGTTCATTTAAAACAATTTTTAATGAAAGAAAAATCACCCAAGTTCTACGAAAATCTAAAGATAGACGAAGATATTCAAAACAGTGAAGACCGAAGACGAGAATATATATTATGGACAATACATTCCATTTCCATCGACCATCATGCTTTTTATTTGGATCAATTCTTTTCAATAATCATCATTACAATTTTCGATTTATTTCAATAACTTTTCAAAGTTAATACTTTTTAATAAAATAATAGTTCATAAATCATATTTTTTGTTTAATAACTAGGTGGGTTGGTGGGTAGAATTCTATAAACTTTGTTTTTGCTCTCTTGAACAATTTACAGAAATAGACTACCACGGTTTTCCCCCTGTATACCCTTCATTTATTATCTATGATCAGGTGTCTACCACCGAAGAATACCAAAGCCGGGGAAACATATTCCTAAAATAGTTATATTATTTAACCTCATCAATTCTATGATAGCATGAATTTACGATACGAAAATTCGATTATACGAATTGCTTTCATCATATTCCTGTGATTTTTGATTTCTGAAGCAGATCGTAGGTACTGCATTCGTGTATGAAATAATTTGTAAAACTGTCATGACATGTTTATTCAGTGTCGAGTTAGAGCAAGACAACGACTTTCCAACGGCTTTCGGAAGTTCTGCGAAAAACTGCAGAAGCATCAGATCGTTTTCGGACGATGACTGCAGGACCTCGACTTAAAGACATCTCAAGTGCTCCGATATTCGACATGATCTGATACATACATAGGTACGTCAGTTAATATTAAATTCTACCAAAAGTAGATACGATTTTTACGTTACCCATAGCAATATAAGTAGAATACTAGATAATAATATTATGCAAACAAATAGTACAAATAGTACAAATAATATACACTGATGTGGTTAATGTAGGTACATACGTATAGATAGCGCGCAAAGGTCGATTCCGCAAACTAATTTCATCCACGGCGACCAGCGACCAATAAGCGCTGCTGCAACATATTTGGAGCATATTAATTATTATTTTTTAATTGATTTAAAATATACTATAAATTATTTCAATGTTACTGTAGTCTGCTTATAAAATAGAAAATGTCAATAGTTATACGACCCAGGCTTACCTAACAAGGCAGATTACTTTGTTTACTAGCCTGGAGGACATTATAAGACACCGAGCTGCACTGCAGTATGTTTCATTCAGTATAGCACTATAGCATGTCCAGAGGGTTAGATTAGGGGTCCTCCCCTCATTGAAGGATAAATCCACATATTTGTGTCTTTGGTATTACCACCACAATTTCTTTAAATGTAATATTAGTTACAACTTCCCCCCTCGGCCCTCATACCATTAAATAATTCCGAGGCACACCACCGGGCCCATTCCACCTCTGCAGCAGATAATAAACGTATATGTATTATACTCTTATGGTATTCTATTGGTACGTCCAAACGACTACACACTATATATACTGTATATAGTCCATACGAAGATACTTAAGGTATTATAATGGTTACTATAGATGTATAGTATACCTATTGTATGTAGTTCATATATATATATTTATAGATTTTATTTTTTGGTAGGAATGTATTGGATTGTATACCTAAAATATAGGTCTCTGGTAAAGTTATACTTCCACAGGTACCAATATATAACAGTATGTCAATATACATTAAACATGATGTACCTAAAATTGGTTATAACATCAATATCATTTTTCATTATAATTTATAGTGCGTACCTATATATACATCATGATGACTACACCAGTCACCCATGGTCTGCAGACACCTATATATAATTTAATAGCTATACTTAATTAGATATACAATTAATATACATACCTATTGTAAATTTCATCATTTGGGTGATGCCTATATATAATACTTATTAAACCTATAGATATATATTCTAGCATGTGTATATACCAATATATACATATATTCTAACATATGTATATACCAATATACCTATAGGCGCGGCTAGCACATATAGGTACAGTGTGTCATGATAATTATATAGGGTGATTATATATATATATAAACATATATCATTCTCACTCGATTTATTTTGCAGATGTGCACTTGTTAAACCTGCACGGTTTTGAATATTGTTTGAAGTGTATGTAATATATTAATATATATTATAGATATAATATAATATATACATATTTTTTTTAATTTTAAGTTATAGTCTTCAACATCATTGATTATTATTTATTAGCCTACATTTATGAAACATAATATATATAGAGAGAGAAAAAAACAGGCTGAAAAAATTAAAATGGAATATAAATATATACTGCAGATATTTACAATTCACTATACTTAAATTTACGGTACCTATATGGAAAAAACTTTTTTACTTATGGCTTCTGTGTTTTCTTCGTTGAACACTAGTCGGAGAGAAGTCGGATTGGAGAAGATTTTCCGTGCTTCGGTGTGTATTTATAATATATTATTATAATTTATAATATTATCAATCCGGGAAATATTATTTAGTATGAAGTAGCGAAGTATGGATAACTATATCCTTACATATTTTTCGTATTTATGTTTGGGACACAAGTGGGTATAGTAGGTATAATAGGTATAAGTAAGCCCCGCAGTGAAATGGATGTACCTATATATACAGAGTGTGTCACACGGAGTTTTGACAAATGAAATGTAATGTAACTTGAAATCTAATGAATATTTTTTCATTTTTTTTTAAATTAAATTTTTTTTTTATTTTGTTGAAGAAAAATACTGTAAACGTTAAATCTATTTGTTTCAATATATTTATAGATTCGCCATTTTGAATTTTTTCAAAGAAATTAAATTCAAATTTAAAATTTAAAATTTTTTCTTCAAAAAAAATATATAATAAATTATAGGACCGTATATATTTTACCAAATACTTCGTCTGTGTCTGGTGTGTTGATAATCATACTATTGTTTAAATTATAATATTGTTCATCTTTATTAAAGGTACCTCACATGATCTTTATATATATGTTGTGCCGTGTGATTCCGCTGCAATGAGCCCGAGTTGTTCCTTTCACTGCAGTTTCACTATCATGCACTATGCAGTAGCATTTCTGCAACAGCTTATATAGGTTTATAATACATGCCTAATACCTGTTATAAACATCAGAAAGTACGAGTTATTTCGATACACCTAATATATTAGTTAACATCATAGTTATAAAATATATTTTATATAATGATGACCGAAATGTAATTATACATATTAAGAGAACCTGTATGTATTAGTATCTATACCTATATATGCATTGTATAGGTACACCTATATATGTACACAATCCATCTATATAGTTTATAATTATACAACCTAAACCTATACCTAAGTATTATATTACCCATATCACTTTACTGAACGCATAGCACTTCTGCAGCTGTTGCTGCTGCTGCAGACTGTATATTATGATATAGTATAAAATAAGAGGGATGATATTTTTTTCATTTTGATAAAATTAAATATTATTCTTGTTCTTGAGTAGGTAAGTAGACATCATTGTATAAGTACCTACCTATACACATAATATAATATACATATATACATCCTATATACAGGTACGCAGGCACTAGGCGCACTATATAGGTGCATACAAGACGTACATTGTGTACACGGAAATAATATAACAAAAATGAAACACATCATTATGTTATTATAATGTTGTTATAAGTATACGGCGATTGACGCGTCTGTAGTTGGCGTTGCGCGTGTGCGCGTCGTCGCGGCGGCCGAACCAAACGCAGACGACGGCCGCGGTGCATGGAATAATAATAATAATAATAATATAATATAGGTGTGGTTGAGCGCTACCGAACACGGTTTTTGTTTGTGGAAATCCCCACCCGAGTGTATCAATCACTGCGCCGAGCCGTCCGCCGCCGCTGTAACCTATACGGGGCTGTACGGGATACGCCCGCGCCGGATTGGCCGTGGCCATGGCGACGGGCGGCTAATCATGGGCGGGGCGACGGCGGCGCGCAGAGTGCGCGTGCGACGACCGCGGGCGGGCGGGCGGGACGTCTGCGACCGCGTCGGTGGGTGGGAGCGGCAACGGGAAGTTCGAGCCGGAACGGGATCTCGAGAAGCGGAAGCGGCGGCGGGAGGAGGCGTCGCCAGGAAAGTGGTGGGGGGCCCGGCGGGCGGGCGAAGCCGCTCTGTTTCACTCGCTCGGTCTCTCTCCCTGTCTTCCCGCCGCCGCCGCCGCCGCCGCCGCCGCCGCCACCGCCGCGCACCAGTAGTATTCGGCCGGTCAACGATATTCCGATGATCTGACGCAAACGATATCCCCCCGAACCGACGCGACACACGCGCGCGCACGCATCCACGCAAACGCACACGCACGCACATATCGTTTCGTATCGTATCATGCACACCGCCGCTCGGCCGTATACAGTCTACACGTACGCCGCCGCGACGACCGCACTACGTCCGTCGTTGTAGGTATAATACGGTCACTAATATTATATTATATACCTACCCGTCCACGCACTATATAATATTATACGCCTAGTTCGCCGTCGTGATATCGATAATTATATACTGTCGTTATACATTGGTGTCTCTCGTCAAATCTCTGCGCACACGTTCCGATCGTTCGTAAAACCGTGTATACCCCCGCGATTTATATCGGAATAGTACATCACAATAATATATTAAACTGTTATCATAGCAGTATTACCCGTCGATATATATATATATATATATATATAGTGTGTACCTACGTTTTCGGCACTCGTTCTTGTCGCGGGACATTGAAAATTCTACTTTCGATCGTCGTGCAATAATATACTTTATTTTACGTCTACGTTTTATACACCCGGGCCGATAGTTTACCGGCGCCGCGCACCGTCTGACTGCAACGGTTGCAACTGCACTGCGACATCACCGTCGCGGCTCATCCGCGTAGGGCCCATAGATTCCGTCGGTTCCGTGGCTGGCGCGTGGCATGTAGAGCGATGGCACTGGGCATATCTTCGACGCCCACCGACTCATCGTCGGGCCGGGGATCGCCGGTGAGCCCGATCAGCAGCCCGGTGACGCCGCTGGCCACGCGGCTGGCGCCCATGCCGCCCATGGTTCCCAATCCCATGTTCGGGCTGCCCATGCTCAACTTCAGCGTGTCGCAGGTGGCCAGCGTGTGCGAGACGCTCGAGGAGAGTGGCGACATCGAGAGGCTGGCCCGGTTTCTGTGGTCGCTGCCCGTCGCCCACCCCAACATTGTCGAGCTAAACAAGAGCGAGGCCGTGCTCCGAGCCCGGGCAATCGTGTCGTTCCACAGCGGCAACTACCGCGACATGTACACCATACTCGAACACCACAAGTTTACCAAGGACTCTCACGGAAAGCTGCAGGCCATGTGGCTGGAAGCCCACTACCAGGAGGCCGAGAAGCTCCGCGGCCGGCCGCTGGGCCCAGTCGACAAGTACCGCGTCCGCAAGAAGTTCCCGTTGCCCCGGACCATATGGGACGGCGAGCAGAAGACACACTGCTTCAAGGAGCGCACCCGGAGCCTGCTCCGCGAGTGGTACCTCCAGGACCCGTACCCCAATCCCACCAAGAAGAAGGAACTGGCCCAGGCCACCGGACTGACACCCACGCAGGTGGGCAATTGGTTCAAAAACCGCAGACAACGTGATAGAGCTGCGGCAGCCAAAAACAGGTAAGCTAGCCCTTTATTTTTCGTGCACAGTCATAATATGATATATATATAAATACTACCCCGTTAACATACCACACCTCGAGATAGTGACAAATTTCACTGAATTGTATCTATATAAAATTCTAATTTCTATATAAAATCTACTCGAAAAATAATACATATACTTCTCTGTTTCCTATTATAAATATAATAATATAATTACAATATTATACATTATATTATAGATATCTATCGTATATAAGCCAAATAATTATATTATATAACTCGTACCTAAATAAATAATATATTTATTATACCTACAAAGAATCTAGTCATTCGAAAGGCACCCGTGCTCCGTGAACTTTTATATAGATAAATATTATAGGTGAAATATAAGCTATAAAAAGTATTAGGTAGGTAATTACATGTAGGTATATTATAATATGTGTTAAGTATTAACGCTCGGAAAATTATCCTTGTACAGCTGTACCTATAAATATGTATTATATATAACTATATATTATACATACATTAATACATATTAATACATCCACGATTATTTTAGGTTAGGTTAGATACTATATTTATATATTTTAAACTAAAATATGTAGATAGTATATAGTATATACCTGTAAACCTATGTAACAAGTAATAAAGTAAGAATAGTCTATATAGTATACCTGCTATTAGTAAAAGTAAAAATATTTACCACTCAAAAACACAAATTGTATATTGAATATTAATATTAAATAAATTAGTAGGTAATAACGAATATATGTTTTTTAAATAACCTATTTAATGATATATAGGTATCTATAAATATACCTATAACTATTATATGTAAATAAAAAAGAATTTTTATAAAATCAAAATAAAACTTAAAAGTTTGTAAATGCTCATACCTATGTCCTATTCTCGCGAAGTATATAATTCATACACAAATTATTAGGTTTTAATTACTCTTGAAAATTTGTCTGCAAATCATTACATTTCCGCATAAAAATTATTTATTTTAAAAAAAAAAAATAATAACGATTCTAAAAATTAAAAAAATGTATAAAACTGCATTTAATTAATTAATTTTTACAATTTTCTGATAATTTTATCCGATAAATTTAAAATTATTAAATTGTTGTTTTTTGTTTAATGCCCTTTAATATTTTATCAGACATTTCAAATTCGAATTGAAAAATAATTTTTAGATCAAACGGAATACCTGTAAATAAATATTAAAAAAAAATTTACATGATAAACATACTTGAACTAATTTATTTCGCATTAAATGATAGTATTTAATGTTGTTTTATATAATTTATACATTTATAAATATATAAAAAGTATAGTTATTAAAATTTAAAAATAATTTGTTTTTTAACAGTTAATTTATACTTTATATATACTTTAAAGAATACCGCTATATATATTATTTAAAAATATGTTATTGAATATAAACTATAATATAATAATATAGTATACCTACTTACATATATTATGACGTATGAATAATGAGTAGTGAAAAATGAAAATTATACTTCGAACTACTATTATAGCTATACCAGTTATATCGTCTACTTATACCATAAAATTATACCTATTTATTAAACAAATAACTTTTGTGTAGTTACTATTTAGATATTGACTACATATAATATATTGAGTTTCTACGCCTGCTACAGTCTTATACTATATTTGATTGAGTATTGTTTTGCTTCATATATACTTAATTTAATAATATTCCGTCTCTTATTCTAAGGTAACCCGTACCTATATATGATAAACCCATGTGTATAAAATAAATATTATATATTCAATATTCATCATTGTATATTTACATTATATACGACAGTCGCGTTAGAGGTTGACCAAACGTAAAAAAATAAGAAAAATAAACTGGTTTTCATTTTTATGAACGAATGTAAAGTTTTTTTTTAAGAATGAGTGCGGCCGCGGCAGGTGGTATACGTTCAATATAATGGGATATGATAGATTTATTACGTGAGTGTATAGTACAATAAGAATACTCGTCGTGTATACTCAGGGATCAAATGCGTACCTATATAGTTTTCTATATTTTAAATACAATATTCTTGGTCGTCACTCAATTTAATTTTTATATATTGACGTAACGGTGAAACGCGTTGTGTCACCAGTCACCTATAGGTAAAATGAGGGTATATGTGGTTAGGGGCTCGGGGCACATAATAATATGCGCGAGTAGGTGTAATGAATATATCTATTAGTTATTATATACACAGTTATTTATTATAGGCACTTAAAACTGTAGCTATTGATAATAACAATTTATAGTTATAAATTATAATATATAGCTATATATTTGGCTAAATTTTTTATTTGTGGGGAATATCTCTGTATTGAGAGTGGATGGATATCCCTATTTTACAATAAATAAGTAACTTGTATTTTATTCAAAATATTCTATTTTTAATCCTGCATAATCCTATGTACATAATCCTGTTAATTGTTATCAATAAGCTTAAAATTGAATCTAAGAAAAAAAGTAATGGGATTAATATAAATTATTGTCCATATCATCCCCCGAAATACGCTATATACCTAGTTCTTCACTCATCTACTGTTACATATGTATAAAGCATGATCGAAAGTTAAATTAATAATATTATGTAAATCAATACTATAATAATAGGCTGCACCTCCTGTACTTATATATATACGTAATACGAGTACCTACGGCATAATATAATACAGTATATATAGGTATTAGGTACAATATGTATGCATTTTATTGTACATTATACATTTATACGACTAACTATATGCTATAGTACAATGTTAAATGATAAAATAAAAACATATCGCGTGTTGTATACAGACTGTACAAATGAATATAATCGACATGACGTTTATATTATACTGGCTACGTCGCCAATCGTCTAAATAGACATCATGCGTTATTTTGACACATTTTAACCGATTCCCTGCACATTGGTTAGAGACGGCCTCATATGCGGTCTGCAGTGTACAATATTTAACAACACAACTACTATACAACCAGTAAATACTATGATATATATATATATATATGATATAATATTGTGTATGGTTGCCATACACATACATACACATTACACACGGAGTGATTGAGTGTAAAAACTACCAAGTCATACACAAAATATACGTATAGGTATGTGTATATGTGTGTACTATATGCTGCGGTATACATAAATAGGTACATATAATATATATTATATACGTATTAATTATATCTCAAGTCTCAATTAATAATTTTACAGTCTACATATATATTAAATCGTGTGTGTTTCATTATCAACTTTTTAATTCATATAAGTTTTAAAATATTATTATATTGTACATTGCAATACCGCGTAATAATTATATTACATAATAAAATCTTGCATATAGGTATATACCATAAGGAGGTTTGAGCGACTACCATGTACAAATTACATTGAATCCGTTATATGCTCACAGACCGCAAATAAGCGCTTTCCTTAAATGACACACCAAATTTTACCTAACAAGAATATAGTTACCCATACTACCTAGCTACCAATATGAATATATATAGTTATTATTATATACACTATTACTATAAATACGTACCACATGGTATGTATATTACTAATATTAGTAATAATATAGTGCATAAATATGTGCGTATTTAACAATAATTTTTGCATAATTAACCGGGCCCTATATATTACCATATAATTTTTCCGATATTCAATTTGGAGTCGTGAACTGATATTTTGGTACCATTGTCATTTATGTTTTCATTATAACACTTATATACCTAGTTTCGAAAGTATTAATATGTTATGCCTTATTATTTATTGTAAAAAAACATTACCGGGTGCAGTTATTATTAGTCTATGTTCATGCAGCCGAAGTTGGGATACATTTTATACTTACATATAATAGATACTTTATATAATGCTATATTATAACATTATGAGGTAAATACGGCTAACGTTTTTAATATTTTAATTTTAATGCATTTATTGAAACATCTATGTATACCTATAGTTAATACTTAATAATGTTATCTCGATTGTCCGTGCGAATATCTTCTTCACGTATCACGGGCATATGAAATATAAGTCGATTCAACCGGGTGAAAGGAACCTACATATTATATGTATGTACAGAGTGGGTGCAAAAACTGACATGTGCACACAGTTTACCTAATCTTTATCATCACTCTATGACAATAAGTATACCTAAAATATACACACATATATATATAGGTATTCTCTTGTTTCTGTGAGAATATTATCACTCATCGTTCACTATATAATAAATAATACTATACGCAGTGACACATACGTCGAGTTTCGTTCGGATTATACGTAGTACCTATATATATTTATATATTTAACAATAATAATAATAGTTTAGCAATAATGCATGAAATATAATAAACTTAAAACTATAATTAACTTTCCAACGAAGCGACAAAGTCGTAAATACGATTTAAACTGTCGTCGTTGGGAGAAACGATGATAAGAGACTGTATAGATTTTATACAATATTATAATATACGTACTTATTCCTAGGTAGCTAATTAAATGATTTTTTAGATATAATTAAACATTATAGGGGCTACCGTTTCGTTTTCCCGTTCCCTTCATTTAAAATATTTAGTCATTTAGTAGATACTATATAGCTAGGTAGGGGATATGATTATATTTGTATATTTTGTATATTAAAAGTTTGATATATACATATATATATATAATATATACTATTATTGAAACATTACAAATGTTATAATTATAAACTGTCGAATTCTGCACATCATCATGTATACTGCAAGGTTAAAATGACATCGAGCATCACGTTTCTTGTTCGTATATAATATATTATAATCTATAATAACTACGACTACGAATTGCGTTTATTATTTCCATTCCTTTTTTCGCACTAATATATAAATATATATTTAGTTTAGAATTGCCTAGCAAAACCGTCAATAAAATACGTCATCTCGACATACTTATATATATAATATTATAACATTT